TCCTTACTCTGTTTCTGTTTCATTTCGAAAATTCGTCCGACAATTATTTGACAATTAAATTCTCCAAGCCTACTCTGATTCACAAAACTTTCAAAAGAAAAGTCGAATTTAACAGATAGTTGTTCGTATTTTTTACCCTCTAATTGACGAAATGAAAAATGTTACCTTTTCATTTTCGTTTGGATTTTTCGTTTAAATTAAGCCTAAAATTATTGCTACAGTATTTTTAATCAAGGCTGCTAAACGTGAGGAACATTTCTAAGCATGTCAAATTTTTATTATTTATTGTATTTCCAATACTTCAAAGTATTTATTACACGTCAAATTTAAGATGTCATACAATGGATTGCATTAACTCTACAAATTAGTCGGCAACACTGTCAAAGAAGGTTATCTAAGTCGTAGGAAGGGAATCTAAAAAGTAGAGTAACAGTACTCACAAACATGACTCATTCCATTCGTTCACTTCTGAACATGAAGTTCTTCCATATTGGAAAATGAAATAGTGTAGTCACTGGCGAAATTTCGTTTAAAATTTGTTCGTTACCGGAATTTCGTTTCGGAGAAAGAGAGTAGAGCTCCTGGAACTATTTTCACAATTTTCAATTATGACTCGGACTTTATTGGGCTATAAGAAAAAATAATTTGTTTATCAGACTTGTTCATCGAGTACACGAGCGAACGAATAAATAAACTACATATTTTTTTACGATCGCAGCAGAGCTTAATAAAACTCTAGTCTCTCCTGAAGGATTTTATTACTGTTTTGTAATATTTTAGCTTCAAAAGTACTTGAAGTATATAAATGTAAGGTTGATCTTACAACTTGATTCCGGTGGAAAGTTAAATGTGAGAACTATTTTTTATCGAAATTTTTTTTTTTCTCCGTATAATTGAACTCCTAAGCCTAGACCAGTTTTTAAAAGGTGTAAAACAGAACCCCATTGCTGTCATTCTGTCGTCTTTCTATTTTTATTATTTTTTATTTTCAGTAACGAAGAATTTTTAAATCATTTTTGTTACGGGGTCTATCTCAAAATCGGAACTAGTCAAGAATGTGAAATTTTGGTATATGATGGCCCATATGTTATTTATATATACCGTAAATTTTAAGTTACAAACCAGTTTTAAACATAAAAATAAATAAATCTACACAACCATACAAAAATGTTAATTTATATCGTTTACAAAATATCCTAAAACAGAACAAATTTGTAAATAACATGCATATTATGGAACAATATTTAAAGTACGTAGATCCTCAAAATATATTTATTTGAATCAATTTATGGCAATCACAATTGTTAAGGTTTCATAATTGCACAATTAGAGAGTTAACGCTAAGATATTTAAAAACATATATGGAAATATAACTTAAATCGTTGTCTGAATTAGCTAGTAAGGTTTCTCAGGTAACACCGAATTCACGGTGTGTTTCATGTTGTATAAATAATGGTACGGAACCCTTCGTGCGCAAGGAGGATCAAGAGCAAACCCATTAAACAACAATAAATCATTTTTTTGAAGTTATACTTCTTTAGCCGCGTTATGAAAAAATTATGAGAGTGAAATTTTAAGATGCGCGCGCATCACTGTAACACAAAAGTAACATAATGAAGTTAGCCGCGGGCGCGTTATGAAAAAATCATGTGAGTGAAATTTCGAGATGCGCGCGCATCACTGTAACACAATAGTAACACCATGAAGTTGGCCGCGGGCGCGTTATGAATGTTAGTGTCTAATAATGGTGGATTATTAACCACTAAGTGGTTAATAATCCACCATTATTAGACATCAGTTCGAAAGGTACTTTGAATGATCCACGGAGCTCCATAAGATGATCGCGTTGTCAAAAACAATGTTGGCACGCTCGTCGCCTCTGATCACTGTTTTCATATTTATAATATTTATCCACATGTTTCTAGTTTCTATATAGACACAACGTGTTTTTGTTACTTACAAGTGCTAATTACATATGGACTAATAACTTAAATTCAGTAGTGATTTTAATTGAATATTTTGAATATTTATTTAATTTTTCAAATTAAAACTGAACTTAATTGACTGTGTTAACTATCCTTTTCCAGTCCTTTTATTATTTTATTGTAATTATTAATTATTTGCATGCAATTAAAAAACATTTTTAATGATGCTAAAGAAGTATAACTTCTCACGCGCGTACATAAGTTACACGCATCCATTTTTTTTCATCAATTCCAACTTAGTGTGTGGTAAAACCACACAACTCGGACACAGAACAAGAACTCAGATCCAAATACAACCAATGATGGCATCATATGGTGTGCTACAATGAGCATTTTACATTATCGTATACCTCTGGATGTACACTGACAACGCATACAAATGTAAATGGTTCGCCCGCAGTACATTGAATGGTGTGACGGTATTAAGTAGGTACATCACGATCAAACTAATTCTGATCTTACTTCTACGATATCACAATCAAACCATTGCTGATTGCTAATGCTGATCTTACTTCAACGATTAATCGTAGCGATATAAACCAACCACGTTTAATTTCACACCGATTTCATTTGATTGATTGCCATTGCCAGCGGCGTTACAATGGGAATAAGCTACGAATCATTAAGCTCTCGTTTCTCGCGAGCCCGGGACGATAATCGTTCATTCGGCAGACGCTAGCTACAGTGAAATTCTACAACTCATTCGCGCGATATGGCAGTCTATTTGTACAGTTAGGTGTTGCTCTGATACAACGCGAATAATAGGTACGAGATCATATCAAATGAGTATCCTAATTGATATTCCCGTGATGAGATAAATACACAAACGCCACATTAAAAAGCGTCGTTATGTACGCGAATACGGGATACCTACATCGCTAACGCACGCGAATTGTGTTCTTACAAATGAAATCACCTCGCGAACGTGTATTTTTCCACATAAACATTCATATTGTGTTCTTAAAAGGTTTGTGTGGCTGTAACGTACACGGAATAGGTACTTATTCTATAAATATAACTATGATGACGGTTTTGTACGAAAAAACCGCGCGAGCTATCGATACACATTATTTCAGCAGCCAGTTTCTACAATCAATCTTTTCTATGAGACAGGCCTTATAAAGCCTTGGGTGTCTATAAAATTGCCTTGATATTTTTAACATAAAGTTGAAATAAAAACTGTTACTAAGAAACGAAAAACGATACTGTAGGTTGATTTAAAGTAACTGGAGCTTTACTCTCTTACTCCGTAACAAAATTTCGGTAACGAACGAGTTTTAAACGAAATTTTGCCAGTGACTCTACTCTATTTAATTTTCGAACACGCACATAAAGTTCGGATTCACAATCAATCTACATGAACGAATGGAATGAGTCATGTTTGTGAGTTCTTTTAACTCTACTTTTTAAATTACGTTTTTTACTTGGATACAATATTACTTTAAATAAAATTTTTGATGACATTGAAAGAACCTTCTTTGAGTGTCAGCCGACTAATTTGTAGAGTTGATACAATCGATTGTATGTCAACTTAAATTTGTCGTTAATACTTTGAAGTATTGGAAATGCAATAAATAATAAATATTTGGTTTATTTGTTAATTTTACATGCTAAAAAATGTTCCTCGAGCTAAGCAGCCTTGATTAAAAATACCCTAACAAACATTTTAGGCTTAATTAAAACAAAAATGAAAAGGTAACACTTTTAATTTCGTCAATTTGAGGTAAAAAATTTCGAACAATTATCTGTCAAATTCAACTTTTCGTTCGAAAGTTTTGTGAAATAGAGTAGGCTTGGAGAATTTAATTGTCAAACTATTTTCGGACGAATGAAATAACGTGCGAATTTTCCTGGCCATAAGACATGTGACGCCACAAAGTAAGCTCTCTACTCTATGCTGTTCGTTGTAACTGTGTATCTGTATGTGTGTGTGTCCAGATTGCCATTACGGTTTCATATTCCGTGTCCCGTAAGGATGGATACCAATATCAATATCCGAGTGAGCTCTGCATTATTGACACAGAGACGGATCGGGTGCAGCCAGTGATTCCGGTCTTAACAATGGCCATGATATGTCTGCAATTCGATTGTTCTGCCAAAGTAGCGATTTCTTTTCCTTCAGATATTAATTCATCTTGCTTTTAACCTATTTTAGGTACGTTGTACAACTTACTGTTATCTAAATTCAACTTTACGATATTTTTATATTTAACTACTATCGGTTAAAAAAGTATTGGGAAAAGTTTTAATCACAGACCAGTGAGTTTATGTAATATCTTTTAGCCTATATTTAATACGGAAAGTGTTCTTGTATTACTATTGTATGGCTGCTATAGTTGCATGCTACACAAATTAATGATTTATTAGTTTAATTTAAATTTCACACTGACTAATAATATGTAGGTATGAGAAATTGATCAGCGGGCGGAAAACTTGCTTGCAAGTTTTACGAGAAGTAATAACAATAAGTTAGGGCGTGGGAGGCCTTAATCTCCCACACGGACCCAGATAAGCCGTTATCGCAATAAGAGATGCTTTATAGGCACATCCATTTCGCAATATCAAACGGAACTCATAGTTCCTCTATAATTGAGAATTTATCAAGCCAGAATAATATTAAATTTTCCCGTTTGTATTCAAAGCATGCGTGCTAAAGGCAGTGATAATTTGTTTAAACAATTTAACTAACTTGTGTAGGTTCTAGGTGACTGGGTTAAGTCTTTTATATAGATTTAAACACATAAAACTCTTCAAAATCTATTTTGGGATATATATGTGAAACCATAAAATAGAGAATCAGAGTACATTTCACATTTATTATTAGTATTAATGTATATTAAAATCTAATAATAGCAGAAAATGGAGAATAAGCTATGACGACGTTGAATTTCATAAACTTTTTCGATAAAGCTACGCAATATCGTGCCCGCGACACGTGTGACCTTTTATACTCCGTCAAGCGAGTACGATAAATCTCACGCACAAAATTGTTTGTTACAGGGGAAAGCATGGAAAATGAGAGAGGTGACCAATGACAGCATGTGCCCGCCGCGAGCGTTGACCCCGGCGGCCGGGGGTCGCGCGCCAGCCGCGGCGGCTGGGCCCACCCGCGCCCCCGGAGCTACGCTGCAGCCTTCGATGCCATATTTTTTAGAAAACTTCACGCTTATTAGGCTATGTCTACAATCATTCCGGGTGATACCGCACTTATACTGCCACGCCTCAATCCCGCGGGTGCGCGCGAACCTTAATTTTTCAAAGCGTCCGCTAGTTAAATTAAAAGCTAACGTGGCCAGCTTTCGAACTAGGACAGTGTGTTATGTTAAATCGTTATTAGTGAAAACGTTAGTGCAATTATTCGTTGTTGCCAAGTGGGTTGTGTGCGGATCGAGCGGACGGCCGAGGCGCGGCGGGCGCCGATCGCGGACGCTGCTGGTTCTGTGGCTGAGCGGGCTCGGCTCCTACAGCGAGGGCAGGCGAGACAATGACCTGCACATAGGAGGCATCTTCCCCATGGAGGGGGAAGGAGGCTGGCAGGGCGGCCAGGCCTGCATGCCCGCCGCGGAGCTGGCACTCGCCGACGTCAACGCAAGATCGGATTTATTATCCGGATTCAAATTACTTCTGCACAGCAATGATAGCAAGGTAATATGAAAACTATTATTTCACCTTGGAACGTAATTATACCGCTACTGTGCCGCGATCTTCCTTACTCGCATTTATTATGATAACATACGGTTGTCTACGGGCACAAAATTAAATTTAGTCGAGAACACATAATAACGCCGCAATAATAAATATGTGGAACACGTTAGGAATACATTAACAAACAAATTTAGAAAGTTAGATCACGTACCCAATTACATTTGTGCGAAACTTTGTCCCTCGAAAATTCGCTACGAAATGCCAATTATAATTTTCAATCAACGTAATGTGCATTACATGTTAGCGGGCATATGGGGTGACGAACACCTAATCCATTAAGTTTGAAAATCAAGCCTGGAGGCTCGATAATTAACAAAAAGGGACCGCTATCCGCGGCGGCGGCCGGTAGGCCCATAAATCCAGATGAACTAAAGTCACAGGCTTATCAAATTGCAACCGAGTGAGCCTGACATTCGATTCAATTACCGAGAATTTATGAATGGCCCACGGAAGAAAATTTTATTAGATAGAAATTCCGAGTCCGTCGTCGCCGGGTAATTCGCCATTATATCGATTTATATTCCGCGATGTTCCGTGAAGATTTGACGACTCCATTCACTTTGATGCCGGTAATGTAACGATTACCGCCCGTATAGCTGGAAGGGGCTCTAGGTAACACAATTGGACTGGAACCGCGCTGATAAGTAACCACCGTTAAAGATTTATTTGTGATTTCAAAATCGCTATTCATGCCGTTGTCAGCAATATCTCGAGGGTATTTTAACAGCAGAAATGTATTATTAAACAAGGTATTTCTTCGTTGTAGATAAGTATAAATGGTGACGATGAATAATTGAGCTAAAATAAACTTTGAGATTGTTGATTTCTCTTGAAATGAGAATGGCGTAGTGTAATTGTGACTAAAATAGATTAAAAGTTAATTCATAAATAGATTAAAAAGTGAATAGAAAAGCACAATTATTTATTCACTAACCAAGAATTTTAAATATTGGTGATAAATCTGTAGGTGTTTACGTTGTTTAAAATAAAGTAATATTTTCAGCTTATCTAAAGAGGCGTGCAGCCAATAAAGAACTTACATTTCTGCAGTATGGCAAAATAACTGCCAAAGTTCGAGTCCTTAAATAAGGTCATAGTAGGCAAAGGTTTTTGTATCACCCAGTCTCTCAGTAAAAAAAACCTGCCACTCCAGTCATTCTGATCTTGTTGATATAATATAAATCCTTCCCCATGTGACTTTGGTAAAGTTATTACTGAAATGCTGAAAATCAAAATTCTACATGATAATATTAATACAACCTAAGCCTGGTTTTCGTATATTTAGGAGTTACTCAATAGTCAGTAACAGTGCATTCTACTGTCTGAACGGTACGGTCACATTTTCCGATGTATTCTTACTAGTGGTCTGCATAGTACACAGCAGTGGTAGTATGCAACTATGTACTGCTACTGTTCTGGTATTAGTATTTTTGACCCATTGCGTTTACACAAAACCATAATTAGCGCAATACAATAACAGCAAATATATTGACTATTGGGCTTCAATTGAGTGGTGCAAATGTGGGCCCAGCAGCTGACATAATGGGAATGCGGAAATTTAGTAAATAGTAGATTTAAAAAAATACTGGATTTAATTGGATGACTCAACTTTGTTTTCGAATACGGGATGCACAGGGTGCACTCGAACTGTTAGTATCACTGTAATAAATGAATCAAACATAAAAAGAAGTAATTTAAAATCATTTTTTTTAAATAATCCTTGACTATATCCCGACTGACGCGGGCAAATGTTTTACATCATGCGTATTACACGAGCTGAAGGGCGAAAACTCTTATAAAGAACTCTTTTCAATTTCCTTCTTTAAGCTCTTTTTTCGTTTATTTAAATTCTGTGAGTACCAACGGTTTGCTTTAGAGACAGATGAAAGATCATCAGAAAAACAATACGTTGGCTAAGAAAAATTAGCGCCATAAATCCATGGAAACATAACACCTCCCGTAGTTAGCGTTTACGCATGATTTTAATTAAACCTAGCCCTCCTTGTTCGCTCGCAACAAATATTGTGTTTCTAATTGGAGTTTTCCGTTGAAAAGACTGAAAGTTCGTCTTTCCGAGCTGTGCCGAGATAATAGCATACCTAACGACGAAGCGTAATTTACACTGTTTTTATTTTGTAGAAAATAACCGAGCTAAAATAGAATATTGTTATATTATCTCTGGATAAAAGTCTCAAATACATTTAAAACGAATTTTCACAGCAACTTTATAAAATTTTTGACTTCCGGGATCAAATACGATTTAACTTTAGCAAATCAGTGGCCTGAAGAGGTGCATGTAGATTGTTAATTCCAGTAGAATTCAATTCATTTTTAATCATAGCAGAAAAGGCCTAACCTCATAGTTTCTTCAGCATAATTTTGAGCCCAGAGAGTTGACCTCTCTGGGCTCAAAATTATGCTGAAGAATTATATTCCTAATACTTTAATACTTTAGCATTAGAGTTAAGACTGACACAAACCATCGATTGATGACGCTAGCGAGAATAGAATTAAAACTCCGGCAGCCTGTTCCAGGTTTCCTGCCCAGTAGAGCTTGTAAAAGAAAATTTCTGTCTCATTCAATTAATTCTGTACAATTGACTTGTCCTGAGTGAGTAAAAACTAAGCGAGTTCTTAATATGATATATTTTATCCTCGTGATTTATATTTTTTTTCTTATTCCTCCCTATGAAAAATCCATAGTATGTCGATATGTATTAAGTTTTTACATATAAATATTAACAAGAATCGCATTTGCTTAAAAGTGAATTTGTTCGGCATTGATAAACACTATCTGGTAAAAATTATAACCTATACTTAAAGTCAAATTTAAAGTGAAACGCCATTCGCATCGAATATTACAAAATTCACACGGTTATAGAACATTGTCATTTTCGCTCGGGGATTTCACTCATTTCACTCACACGTTTGCAAAGGTTTTGAAATTATAATCTGAACGAAAAAATTATATGTCATATGCCGTAACACAACGCTTGTAATGTTATACATACCCTCCGTTATTAACCCAACGAAGATTTTATCACAAATTTTCACATTGTGTTTTCATTGTCGGCCATTACGTGACTTTTTGTCAAATCACGTATCTCAATAGGCTTTTAAGGGTGAACCGGGAGAAGAAATATTACTGGTACGAGATGAGGCATATATACTCGTATCTGGTTGTATTAAACATAGACGATTTTTTTTTAATAAAACAATAACAACTTACAACTATTATTTACTTGTATATATGTTTATATGTACACTATTTAAAACATATCTTTACTATAATATTATAAAAAGGAAATATTTGATCGTTTGTTTGTTTATATTGAATAGGCTACGAAACTAATGAACCTATTTGAAAAATACTGTCACATTTAGAATTCCATATTATATCTCTGATGAACATAGGTTATAGAGTATTTTCAAAATGTTAGGGTTCCGTGAAAACTTCAATAGTGTAGCATGTGTGAAAAACATACCAAAAAATAACCTTACATTATGTTGCGTACGCTGCGGAAGTCATAATATCTACAAAAAAGTCCGCAAGAACTTTTGAAGGGAAACAATAATTAAAAATTTAAATAATTTTGATCACCCGCCTTCTAAGCGGCTATTGCAAAAGTTACTTAACTTTCATAATCGCGGACCGAACGCCACTGCACCAGCAAGTTTCTCATAGTTTATGTAAAAAAAATCATTCACTCACACCAGTTAGCCCCTTAGAAAGTAAGCAGTGTGAGTCATGTGCTATAGGATACTAGGGCAATGGATAGCTTTACATACTGATACATATATAAGTGTATTTGTATAGGCATATGTATTTACATCCATGACTTTGTTACAAATGCTCGTATGCCTCACACTAACATTTTCCCCGCCGGGACTCGAAGCCGAGACCTCTGAGTAGGCGACAACTTGAAACCCAGCGTACATACCACTCGGCTACGGAGGTCGTCATGTTATGTATATTAATCGAGGTGAAAAACTCTACACTATCCCCAACGTGTTATGGTAATGATGATATTTAAAAATTCACGTTTTCAACAATGGACGTCAAGTTATAACCCTGATATTCTTGACATTTGCTGCTATTATTTCGTTTAATTATAACCGGGGGTGTTACCGTGAGCCGTCCTGATTAGCATTTCGCTGAGCCGCTAACTTTCAGTCGGTTAGTTGAAGTGGCTCCTCCACGCGAAGAATTAAATTGAATTAATGCTACACCAATGAATAAAGTAAACGCCGAATTTACATTTTATGCACTAGGGCTGTCTGTATCGTATTCGTTACCTAAAGGCAAATATTACAAATAATCAAATATTAGGAAATGGAAAATTATATCTTAAGATACTCAATAGATATCGTCCATATTAGTTTTTGTTTTCATATAAAATTTAATTGCAGTTTTTTAACGCTTCTTACGTAACACTTCTTAGATTTGTGAAATTCGAAAGGTATACATGATTGTATTTAAGAATATTTGTGTTACCAAAAGTGTTTCTTATATCTCTTTCTTCCGTTTTCGTTATCAAATTACTCTTGTGTGATTTATTTGCTTTTTACTTGATGTTTGTCACTGAAACTTTTTGCGTTCTTCCTGTGCGAAAATTCTTTGATTACTGCAGACTTTTTGATAATACTTTAATCAGGTAATTTGAAGATCCCTATTAATTTACAACTAATTAAATTTAACTATAATTTTTATTATTTTAAAGCATGTAACTGCTTGATGTTTAAATCTAAAGAAAATATAACTAGAAAAAATTCCACGCGGACCAGGCAGCAGACGGGACTCGAACCCGCACCCTTCGCAATCCGGGCGAATGCATTGACCAATTATGCTACCGCGGCCCTCACGGACCGCGTCGAAATTCCTCTAGCCATTCTTAAGCTGCAAGGCAGCACCATCTCTTCGCATTATAGGTAACCCACAA